AGGTGATAGGAGTAAAGGAGACAAACTTCCACCTCTGCCTTCACCCTAGAGGTCTAGAGAGACCCTCAGATTTCTGGCTCATAATTAAAGTTGGAACAAGCTCAGTGTCTAGGTTTCTGGCCATCGTTTTACTTCAAAAGCATATACTCTTTCCCAGAGTCACCCTGAAAGATCTTCCTGTTCACATTTTTCCATTCTGCTAGGCTGATAAAGAGCTAGCCCATGGTCCTACCTCCTATTCCTCATCTTCTGTTTAGACTTCCCTTGACCTACACTTTCTGCCTGGTAGATGATTATTCACCCTGAAAACCTGGAAAGCATTGTCACTCTGGGAAAAAGCCCCCTAGCTACCTCAGGGGGAACTGATCTGCTTTTTAGTTGTTGTTATGACAAAAATCTATGCTTCTCACAAATACGTTTTTATATTAATTAGACTCAAGGCAGTCTTGTCTGACTGCCATGACTATCAATAGACTGCGGTACCTAGCACTATGCCTAACGTATAGTGCGTGTCCAGCAAATGTTTGTTGTACTCAGTAGAATATACCCTACCCCAACCTGTATTTCTGAAGGATGATGGACTCAGGTCCAGATGGCACAAGGCCCAGGTGCTTTCAAAATGGTCAGGGAAAAATGCCATCCTTTTCCCAGGGGCAGGCTGACAGATGGTTGTGACAGGTGGAGTGTGAGTGAGGAAAGGTTAGGAGGAGCAGATCATGAACATCACCCCAGGGCAGGGAGACCTAAGCTCACAAGACTTGGGCAAGGCTCTAAGTGCAAAGAGATGGCTGGAGCTTCAAGAGCAGAGGAGGCGGTAGTCCAGCAGCACTTCCACAAGGCTCATTCACTGTGGCCTCTGCCCCCAGGCAGCCGCTGTCTAAGACTAGAACAAAGGCCCTCTGTGACTGTCTAACAGGCAGGTCAGGGCAGGCCTGTGCTGCTGCAGTGCTACAGGACAGGTGCATACACCTCCCTTCCAAAACCAGCTTTAAGTCACTGGGTAAGGGTGGAGATGTCTATGGGGCTTTCCGACTGCTAGTATGTTTTCATCTGAGAAGCCTTGGGGCACTCAATCATCTTCAAAAGGAAACAAAAAAAAGCATTAAAACTATGCTTATTTATTTAAAACACTATAATGTTTTTCTGAAGATATGCAGGTGGCTTGAAACAGGCAGACGTTACTAACCTACTAAAGAAAACATCAAGCCTTTGAATTAACTGATAGACCTGCATAGCGACTGCCAACCTTGGGGGCCTCCCTCTTCCCACGTGTGATTTAGCCTGTCGGGATCTTGTTTTCCTCTGTATGGTGGGGATAATACCAATATTGATCTCATGTTGCTAGGGGTAGGGGAAATAATACAAGTGCTCAGTGACTGATGTGGTAGAGCTCAAGAAATGGTTTCTATTCTGTAATTTTATAGGACATTGAATGACTACCGATCAATTTGAGGATAAATGTCTTCAAAGACTTTAATCTTTGTAAATACAAGGAGTTGAGAAGAAATGGGGCCAGTTACCTTCCCAGAGAATACAGTAGTTAAGAATCAGACTCACGACCAAATACCATTGTCATTGCTCCTTTCATTCCCAAAGAAATCAATAACACATAATATGATTGATCCTATTGATCTTATTATGTAAGGTCTAATGACAGAATGTCATTGTAAGAAGGCAATGCTTGATAATTATGGAGATAGGACATTTCCTCTTCTCACCAGATTGACATGAAGGGGGAAGACAAGGGAATAAAAGCTCTGAAAGAATCACTCTAAGTGGGGATGACTGGCATTCCAGTCCTGAGGTACAAATCTGCTTAGCAGAAACTTGGTTGATCTGCTTCTGGGCCACATGAGTAAGGAGCAAGAACTGGAGAGATCCTGAATGGTGGAGGGGTTCTGCCAGGTGACAAGAGCCCTGTCCATGCATTATAACTTCCTGTTGGTTCAGTGTGAGAGGATTCCAGGGACTAAGGTGATAGTGCTAGCTAAATCTCACAAAAGGCAATCACAAAGGCCTTACAATAGGCCTGAATACAGCACAAGACAAGTTCCTAGTCAGCAGGATGGCACCTGATACCTGGACAGTAGCAGTTATGGCTACCAAGAGGAGGACAGCCATTTTGCCAGCAGTAGAACTCTGCCAACTCTGCTGTCCTAGTCCTACAGACTGTGGCACAAGAAGCAAGAAAAGAGAGGAAAGTCAACCATTCCTTCTCCTCCAACTTTCTAAAGCACTTGCATGGAGGAAAAGACATTTGAGTTGTTTGCAATGAATGCTTAAAAATGTGTAAGACTGGGCTGGGAAGGTGGTTCAGTGGAAGAATGCTTGCCTCACATGCATGAGGCCCTGGGTTCGATTCCTTAGCACCATATAAGCAGAAAAAGCTGGAAGTGGAGCTGTGGCTCAAGTGGTAGAATGCTAGCCTTGAGTTAAAGAGCTGAGGGACAGTGCCGAGGCCCAGAGTTCAAGCCCCATGACCAACCAAAAAAAATTGTGTAAGATTGAGTCATCAAAGTGTCCCAGTAACTGAATGTGACTGAAAGGTTATGGATTCTTGCTTAGGTATTGGTGAGTTTTCACCCATCAGGAAAGATGAGACACAACATAATACACTGAGGTAGTTATTGAAGTACCACAAGCCTCTTCATAGATATATCCCAGACTGATACCTCAATACACTGCCAGTGCATTCTTCAATGCTGTGAGGTCAACAAGGAGTAGAGGGTTGGGCATTCCTTTGCATGAAGAACATCCAAGAGGGACATGTCTCCTAACATTACAGATTAGAAGGCATTCTAAAGCTGATTCCTTTTATCTGTTTATAGCATGCCTAACTTATTATTCATATGCTCTCCCATAAGATACCATGAACAAAAACTCTGAAACCACACAGACCTTAGTCTACTCTTGGCTTTGCCACTATAGTGACATGTCTCAGGGATTTCACTCAGAATTTTTTAGGCCAAAGTTTCTTCATCTGTAAACAGGGGGTGTTATAAACTCCACCTTTAGATGTGAGAACTAGAGCCAATATGGATTAAGTCCTTAAGAGTATAGGTGTTTTTATTCATTTAAGAAATATTTGTTGCATGTGCCTTAGGGGAGAGAGGGGATGGATCAGATGGGGGAATAACAAGCCAGAAGGCAGGACAATGGGTAGATGGTGAGCGTCCAGTGGTCTCCTCAAAACCTGGAGGACAAAGCAGGTCTGCAGAGTCTGCTTGTCCTGAGAGTCTTGTTGCTGGTACTCTACTGGGGGACAGGGATAGGCATGCACATTAGATCCAATCTCTCAGAAGGTAGGAAGAGCATCTCCTGCAGCCTGCTGGTCAGCATTAGAATTTTCCACCAGTAGGAAATGTGTGTTCCTCTGAATGGGAATATAAGGGTGTTCTGACCCCAGAGGCTCAAGTAATTCTCATTCTTTATGGAGGAAGAGCCACAACTGCAGGATATAAAATCCGTCAAAGATCCTTCAATTAAGAGATGGGATAAGGGCTGACTAAAGCTGCTTTTGAGCCTTCTGGAAGCAGTGCACTTGTGCCTGCCCAGAGACAGGTCTAGTCCATCAAGGCTTACAAAAGGAAAATTTCAACAGTTCCATTCAAAGATATGCTATGTTCAGCAGGCTTTAACATTAGCAACTTATTCTACCCACTCCCAATACTGAAAGAGACTACAGCACAGAAATACAATATAGCCAGAAGAAAAAAAAAAACCCACAAATTTCCACATGGCAAAGGCAAGAAACAGTCCCCACATAGAAGTCCTTATGTTTGAGAACTTACCAGCTCCATCTGGCTGTTATTTTCTGCATTGCTTCCCTCTGCCCCACCCTGACTACTAGGGTCCATGCTCCCATGCATCTCTTCCAGAAGCACCTTTACTATGGAAAACTATCATCTGAAGCCCTAGTTGCTCTACCTGTTCTGGGAAAACTGGAGGCAGGTGCAGCCTAATGAGTTTGGGAGGATGCCGGGCCTATGGTAGCTTCTGGGCTGGCAGCTGCTGGTGTTTACTAACAGGAGAGAGAGGGAAAGATTCCAAGTTGAAGTGTTGCCTGAGGAGAATGAGAATTCTGACCAGGCAGCTCCAAACCAATCAATACCTTAACTTAACAGCAAAACACCAGCAAATATTACTGTGCTAATTAGTCACCAAATTTAAGTTAATTAAAAACTTACCAAGATGTAAAAGCACAGTATTGCATTAATAAATCTCGTAGCTTTTTTATTTTTTTGAGAATTTGGATTTGAACTCAGCGCCTCACAATCACTTGGCTTGCTTGCTTAAGGCTGACACTTTACCATTTTAGCCATGCCTCCAGTTTTACTTTTTGCTCATTATTTTGGAGATGGAGTCTCATGGACTTTTCAGTCTAGGCTGGTTTCAAAGTGCCTCCTCCAGATTTTAGCCTCCTGAGTAGCTAAAAATTAGGAGCATGAGCCACCAGCACCTAGAAACCTGTTTTTTTTTTTTTTTTTTTTAGATACTGGGATATGATCTCAGAGCCTCAAGCTTACTAAAACTGGAAATTGAGCCATTCCTCTAACTCTCATGATTTTAAAGGGTGGCCTCTTTAATACAAGAGATAAGGATTAAGCATTTTCCCCTGGGAACTGTATAGTTGAAGTATGTTTTGTGGTTGATATTCTCTTTCCCACAGAGAGAGATAGCCTAACTTGATAAGCAGCAGAGGCACATGAATCAAACCAGCTTTATTTAAGCAGGTCCTTCTCCAATTGGAGTAGCTTCCCCTTATCACACCCTCAGTGTCTTGCAGATGGGAATGGTATAGTGGCTACATTCTTTACAAGTACTTTCTTTGGGTTGTCATAAGATTGACATTCTCAAGTCTAGGCAAGCATTGAACTGTCTGAAGGAAATCAAAACCAGAAGAGCCCACCAGCACCCCTAGTCTTGATAGTGGTAATGTCATTAATAGGTGGATGTTGCTATTGAAGATACAACTCCATAACAAGTGCTCTCTGACTTACCTTCTGCAGACAGTCCCTGGATGTTTATTCCTTTAGCAGCCAGGAAATTCAAGCAGGCATCTATGTTTTCAATCTATAGAGGAAAAACACAACAACATATGTTTAATGAATATTCAGCCTTCTCCAGAGCCACCTCTTATTAGGGTCCAGGAGCAAACCAAGTACCATAAAAGTAACTATGGTTGGATGGATGGATGCAGGGTAGGACTCTCCTTTGTCTGTTCTTTCACAGGAAAAGGTTACCTAATATCCCAGTCACTTAGTGCCAAAAGTCCAGGCCTTGGATTGCTCACAGCTGCCAAAAATAACCAGGGTGGAACGAGAGCTTTCATCTTGATCAATGTTACCAGTGCAATCCTGAAAACTTGAGTAGTTGCCAGAAAAATGGAGGTGGAGACAAATAGACCCGCCCACCTACCAGCAGCTGGAAGAAATTTCCAACCACCAAAGAAGCAAAAAGTCAATGTACAAATGGTGAATGGGAGTTTCAGCAGGAATGTGGGCAGTATTTACTCACAAAATTCTCGGGATGTCAGGCATTGCAGATGACCAGGGAGAAGTGTGACCTCTGAATCTTTCTGTCCTTTGTATTCTTTGGATAAGAAGGGACCCACAACCAGAGTCTGGGAAGCTTTGCATGTTTGCTAGAGCTGATGCCAAGGCCAAGGGCAAACCAATGTGCAGCTCTCACAAAAACACAGGTCATTCCTAAAGTTCCTATTTGACTTCAGTTGTCAGGACTAATTAGTTTCTGATTTAAAAGAAAATGTTTTTGTTTGATTAACTGGGATTATAAGTAAAAAGAACTTGCTTTTTAATTTGGCAGAGCAATCTGAAAAATTTTAACTTTTATCTCATAATAGAAGATCTCCCCTCCCCTCCATAGTTAGCCTACCCCACAAGATTACTCAGGCTCCATCAACATTTTTATTCTAGAGCTCTACCACTTGAGCCACAGCTCTACTTCTGGCTTTTTGGTGGTTCATTGATTAATTAAACTTTCCTGATTGAGTTTGCTTTAAAATGCAATCCTCAGATCTCAGCCTCCTGAGGAGCTAGGATTACAGATGTAAGCTACTGGTGGCACCCGGCTTCAAATCAGTATGTAAACCATGGAGTTTATTTTGAACTAATAAATATCTTTCATAGCATACACATTACCCATCACCAAGAAGTTCCTTGGCATTCCTCATGCCAACAGAAACTGTGAGGCATCTATCTACATTTTAATTGACATTAGTCATAATCACAGACTGTGAAGCATCTACACATAAAAAGCTCTGATTTGAGTAGTCTGGCTTCAAAGGAGTCTTTCTGAAGTTCATGTCCACTCACTCACTGATGTCTAGCATCTTCTTTCTCTACCCTAGAGTCTACAGTTTCCAAATGCATTTAATTAGGCTACAGGGTACCTGAGTGAAACTATGCTGAACTAACAGGCAATCTACTCAGTCCTGTGCTGCAAGTTTCTCTATTCTTGCACTTTTGGCACCAATCTCCAGCTTCTTCTAAACATTTAGCTCCCCTTGCAGGGTCTCATCTGCCAGACATTTTTCTCACCCCAAGAATACTAAGTGAATGCAATTTCTTGCAAACTGAGCAAATGCTGATACTATAAGTTATGGCTGCTACCATCCCAGGAAATCATTCCTTATACAGTTGGAAGGAAAGTGAGATTGCCTTTTCTATTTTCTTTTCTTTTTCCAATTGCATTGAGGTTTGAAATTGGGGCTTTGCACTTACTAAGCAGATACTCTACCACTTGAACCATGTCTCTACCCGTTTTTGAATTAATTACTTTTTTAGGTGGGATCTTGATTTTTTGATTGGGACCAGCCTCAGACCAAATTCTCCTTAGGGATGCCTATCACATAGCCAAGACCATTGGTATGTACCACCATCCCAGCTTATTTGTAGAGATAGGAGAATCTAACTTTTTGCTCAGTTGTATTCAAACCATGATCCTCCTGATCTCAGCTCCCAAGTAGCTGGTATTAGAGGCAAAAGCTACCATGCCTGGTAAAATTGCTTTTAATCTCTCCTTTCTTCTGTCCACCCCCAGAATTACTGATAGTAATTCAAACTTATTCAACTTATTCAAAGTACTGTCATCTTGAAGGGAAGGATGAAGGGAAAGAAGGAGGAAAAGAGAGAGGAAAGGAAAAGGGGAGGGATTGTTTGCAAGTACCTTGTGGACTATGTTTTGGAGCAACATGCTTCTACTTGGAAGTGCAATAAAAATTCTCTCAATTATTTTACCCTATTATAAACTCTGCTTTTTAAGTGAAAATGATAACTATGAGATAATATTTACCATGAGGTCTAGTTTCTACTGTTTGTACACAGTGAAAAATATACCCCCAAACACTCAAAGGAGATGGCTGCATCCATAGGAATACAATTACATAAACTTAGTTACTTTTTAAATTTTATATGAGCTCTCACTATGTTGCCCAGGCCAGTCTCAAACTCCTGAGCTCAAGCTATTATTCTGCTTCAGCCTCTTGAGTAGATGGGACTGCCAATATGCATCGTTGCACCTGGCTGAAGGTATCATGATTATGATAAAATTATGAAATTCATTTTCCACTCCTCTCCTCCTAGAATCGTATCCTACTCTTTTAATATCTTGCATAGCACTAATAATATCAACTTAGGCAATTATGTTCTCATGGAAAAAGAGAAAAAGGAAAACCTAACTATATCTGAATCTCTGTTAATGCAAATATTTTTTAATGGCACATTCATATTTATCCTCGAGAGTATCATGTGGATGAGTTGTTATAGGTAGGTAACTTTTTTTTCAACAGTGTAGCAGTGTGACAGTGAAGAAAAAGAGTTAGGAATATAACTCATGCACAGCCCTGACCTATCATGCACCACACCTTGGGTTTGATCCCTAGCACCAGGAAAGGGAGAAGGAAGAGTGCCTCCAACATATTAAAGAGAAGCAACGTTCAACTATAATAGTGCATTTATATAGAACTCTTTCCTTCCAAGAAAAATAAAACGTATTTGTTCACCACAGTTCACACAAGATGCCTGGGGGCATAAAGAACACTGTCAACTAAAAGAAGATGAAATACAGATTGCACTTCCAGAAAAATGTTAAAACTAGAAATAAAAACTTGGTCATTATTTAAAAGATCATTCATAACAAAACACAGCATTACCTACCATACATAGTAGTGTCTTCGTGCAAGTCTAGCCTTAATGCATTTCAATTCAGCCAACTTTTGGAGCTTATTTTATGTTAAATTCTATTTTAAAATGGTAGATAATTATATATAGGCTGCCTCATAGATGCCTTCTTTTACTTTCTTAAGTTCTATCATGGTTTTGCTTAACATTTTTTTCTGCTGGATAGGAGAAGGAACAGCTTGGCTGTGGTGGCAACATTTTGACCTGTTCCAATGAGGTCAAGAGGTTGGTACTACTGGCTAGAGGTGGATGTTAGATGATGCTAAACATTTCACACAAGTATGCTCTTTGTAGAGAAGAATTATCCAGTCCAAAATGTGGACAGAGCATGTGAAAGCTCCACTTGGATGATTCTTGTATGCACTTCAATCAACTTAACTGTGTGGCTGTCTGCTTTGAATCAGGTCACTAGGCTCCATTCTTTTGATGGTACTGGTTTCAGCAAGTGTTATATGTTGGAGAAAATGAAGTAAAATACGATTTTTTAATAAAAAAATTTTTTTAGTGGTACTGGTGTTTGAATTCTGGGCTTTGTACCTGGTTAGGCATATGATCCTACCACTGGAGCCATACTCCTAGCCCTTTCTGCTACTTCTCAGATAGAATTTTATGTTTTTACCTGGCCTGGCCTGGCAGTCCTCCTAACCTCCACTTCCCATGTACCTGGTATTATAGATATATTTTGTGTCTGGCTCAGATTAGACTTTTGAATGAAATTATCAGGTCAATGGCCTAGCTAAGGATGGACCCAGGTGATCAACCTTTGTGTCATAGTGACAGGGGCCTATACACAATCCTCCTTTTCAGAGTCCAGAGACATTCCACATTCACCCTAATTCCTATTGTTTTCAGGAAGAATTGGGACACATAAACAAGTAAACTATTAGGATGTTTTGTTTTTAAGGGGACAAGATGCCTGGGGGCATAAAGAACACTGTCAACTAAAAGAAGATGAAATACAGATTGCACTTCCAGAAAATGTTAAAACTAGAAATAAAAACTTGGTCATTATTTAAAAGATCATTCATAAGCCCATCAAGCACCCTGAATTTTTCCCCTCTACTATAAACTCTGTTCACAGAAGGAGTTCAAAACAACATTCCTTGAGTCTGAAACCCACTCTTTAATAATGTTCCATTAAGGTTAAAAATCGTTCCTGACAAGGCGGCCGAGATCCGCACTCTTTTCATCTGCACCCCAGGAAGAAGTGAGTCTGGGGAGCAGAAAAGGGTCAGATCTGGATTCCAACCTCCTGCTTCATTTGGAATGAGATCAGAAGGGGAGACGGGTTCTTTGATCCAGGCCCTCTTGTGATTATAATTCACCTTATAGTATTCCTCCAAATACAGTACAGGTAAACAATCTATCTTCAGGTATTGTTGAAACTGAGAGGCCCTATCCCACCTCAAGAGTGACATGAACTGAGCAGTAGCACCCCAGTGCTCATTACAGAGCAAAAATGTCCTCATACCATCTCTAAGGAGGCTCGTGGCTCATGTGTGATCCAGACATCCAGTGTGAGATGAGGATCCTGTTAAAACTGGGAGGCAGAGCAAGGGAAAAGACTCTTAACAAGAAAAATATGTAAATACAGCCAAAGAGGTTCATTAACACATAGTGGCCAATATAAACTACTTTCCAAAATTAGCTGGGAAAAAAAAAATCTGTGCAAAGTCTGACATTCCAGTGCTGCTGAAGGGAAGCAGGAACTGGGTGAGAAACTATAGTAATTGTTGCCATAGAATCAACTCAAGTGCTCTGGGATCAAGTTGTTGGAGTCCTCCAGCATTAGCTGGGGGGAGAAGCCAGGGGCCATCATGTGACCTGGAGACACTGGGAGCAGAAGAACACTAAGTGGAGGGAGGCAGGAAA